CAGCATCCTCTTGCCTCTCCATTGACACCCTTGCTGGCATCTCTGTTGAGTTTGTTGATACATACAAATATCTGGGTCTTTTTTATTGGACAGAAATCTAAACTTTAAACACCATATTGAAGTTCTTACTAAGAAATTGAAATTCACTCTTGGCTTCCTTTACAGACTTAAATGTAGTTTTTCAACTTCGTCCCGTAAAGGTTGTTCTCTGGCTTATTCCTGTCCCAGCTGGACTACGGTGATACAATCGATAGATTTGCCTGTCCCACTGTTTTGGCCAAACTTGACCCACTCTACCATGCTGCACTGCGTTATATATCAAATGCACCCTATAGGACTCATCATTGCACACTGTATAGCCTAACTGGATGGTCCTCACTCACTATGCGTAGGATGCAGCATTGGTTTTTATTAATGTATAAAGCCATTTTAAGAAAGCTTCCACTGTACATATGTGCCAGATTTGCTCCAGTTTGTGACTTTTACAACCTCAGATCCAGTGCCTGGATACGGTTCCAGGTCCCTGCTGTGCGGACTGAGGCTGGAAAAAGGAGTCTATTTTATTATGGGCCTTGGTCTTGGAATGACCTTCAATCACGCCTCAAACTGACGGCACTTGTCTCTATAGCATGTTTTAAATTGAAGTTGTCAGAAGTCCTTACCACCAGCTGCTCTTGCAGTAATAAGTAGTCCCTTTCTTACCGTCCTAATGTGCACAATGTAGTGACTGCTTTTTTCATCTTTTGTTTTCTTAGTTATGTTCTCTGTATTTTATATCATTGTGTTATGTGTTATGTGTAACGTTGCTGCCTTCTTGGCCAGGTCAGCATTGTAAATGAGATTTTATCTCAATGCTTTTTATCTGGTTAAATAAAGGTTAAATAAAAAATGGGCAAACCATCTGACAGTTCACAAATAAAATATATAATTCATTACTTTTTCTACTATGAATACCATTTTATTTATTTATTCATTTTCAGATTTCAACACAAGTGAACAGAAGCAAGCCTGTAAGAAGCATGAGCTTTACGTCAGTTTTCGAGATTTGGGCTGGCAGGTAGGAAATTATTTCCCGTCGCAAAACACAACACTAACAAATGGTAGTTACACAATGGACAATACACTTTGGTTCGGTTATAAGGTTTAATAAATAAAGGAATCCCTTCTTTTTAAGGATTGGATCATAGCACCTGAGGGCTACGCTGCTTTTTACTGTGATGGGGAATGTTCTTTTCCACTCAACGCACACATGAATGCTACAAATCATGCAATTGTGCAAACCCTGGTAAGTATTCTTTCAAATGAATTGCATACGCCTGTTGCAATAAAAGCCACCATAATGTTCTCAACAGTTATAATTCATTTGAAACCCACTGCTGTCGCACCTCTTTTAAACCTACTTTATGCTCTCATTTATAGGTCCATTTAATGTTTCCTGACAACGTGCCAAAGCCATGCTGCGCCCCAACAAAGCTCAACGCAATATCAGTGCTCTACTTTGATGACAGCTCAAATGTCATCCTCAAGAAATACAGAAATATGGTAGTTAGGTCTTGTGGTTGTCATTAGTGGCAGGGCTAACTTTAATTTATGCTATCTGGTATGGGAATCGCTGGAAAACACATCTGCTGCAGGTGTGATGTGATGTACAGTATTATGTATATAACGTTTTTATTACCTAATTTATTTTCTTCTTTTTTTTTTTTTTTTTTTAAATAGCACTGAATATCGTCATATTTAAATGATTAGGACGACATGTTGATTTTACTTCACGCCAGTTATCAGTTAACTTTTGTGTCCGTTGGCATATACTCCCTCTTAGTGACGTCTGTATAACTTTTATGAGTTAATTATTCACTGGAGTCATCATGATACATGAGAGCACTTCCCCTCCTGCTTGTTTTCCCCCTTGTATAATACGCTCTATAAATGATCACAGAGTTAGAAATACACATGGTATATGATGTGCTTTGTTTTTAAACGCTAATTTATCTCCTTTGTTTTCAATATGGGCCAGAAGTACAGAATAATGTCAGCACAGCATGAGGCTTTAGCACTTACATCACAACGACTGTTTGAAATATCTTAAATCAAATTGGTTCACTTGGTTGGGAAAAACATTGTGAATGTTTAAACCAAACTGCCCAAAGCTATTTTAAAGCTGCCACTGTCTTTCAGCACTGATACCGTTTCACGTTTTCAACGCCAACTTTTTTCAAATGTTTTTCGTAGGAGAGGAGGAGATTATATAAGTCTGGAATCTCATATTATGTTGAGCGTTCACTTATGAATGCTTTACAAGTCATGTCATTTTTTAAACAATGTTTATGTTAATCTCTTCCATAAACACTGTTATCTCATTCCTCTGTGGGCTAGCTGTAAACGTCTTTACTCCACACTGATTCTATTTTATGTCTGGGGAAAGTATATCTTTATGTAAAGTGTTAAGTGTATTTTAATAAATGTACCACTTGAGAACGTTTATCTTTTGCTCTGCCTTTACTTGACCTTACAGCTTTTTTTTTTGCTCCATTTATCACCCTCAACAGTATCTAGAAATACATTTAAACCCCCTCCTCCAGCTGCAAGTCCTCCAGCCTTTTCAAATTCAAGTTGTCCTTTTGTATTTGTTTGGAGTTCTGCGGATGTTTTACACACTAATGTCTCAGATTTATAAATGTTTGACAAGTATGATATAAACTAGGGGTCACCCATGCAGCCTGTTGACATACTCTTGGGGGGAGATAATGCTGCTGCTGGTAATGTGTGAGCAGAGACAGCCCAAAAGGGGGCTTATAATGGAGCTGTATAAATATATCATTTTCTAAACAATCTATTTCTGATTATGGGGAAAGATACCATCCATCATCTGGAGCATGTGATGTGTATGTCAACCTCAGCTTGCCTATATTTTGTTCACTTGTATTTGTATATTGCCATCTGCTAAGAGCTAAGATTCACCCCTGGAAACAAAGTGGAAACCATCAACTAAACTGAGTGAGTGTTTGCTGCATTACCTCC